ACCTTCATTTCAATGATGATTTATGCACTTTAATCCAAATTCACAACAAAATTGAGTTGCGCGGCTAAAGCAGTGGTCGAAAAAGAGGCCTTTTTATTGACCGGGAGGCACATACAGCACTTGTTCCCCAGGCTCAGCCAACAATGCATTGGCCCCCTTGTTGGCAAACTTTCGATTAGCTTTTCACACATTCTGTCCGACAATCGGATCCGTCTTCAGCTCGCGGCATGGGTCGCAGGTAGAAATAAAGGAATGCTTTCAATTGCTGCATATTGAACTTTTAACTTTGTCTACGAGGACTTCATCCCTAAAATCAGTGCATCTACCGAGGTGATTGAACGCTCATGTCGTCTTTAAATGTTCACCCAGCTTGTAATCGAGATCGAACAATAAGTTATTTATCGTTTTTTTCTGGTTTTTCTCGTTAAGTGAACATGATGGTTGGTGATGAGTGCAGTCTAAATAAACCCCAGCCTGGTTTATCTTGTTGTATTCGTAAAATGAGCCACAAAAATGGGTCATCTCTCAGACGGGTCTCTGAAAGCTAACCTTGTATGCACTTATGTGTGGTCAACCTCCTAAGGAGTGAGCTGTTAAAGTATGCCCTCTTCTCCTGGACTGCATGAAGTCCGACATCAACTGACGCCGGCTTGCCCACATCTGTTTATAGCGAACTAACTGCAGTTTCATTGGTTACTAGTATATAAACAGCTCCACTCCACTAAATGTGGTTGTTTTTGACCATAAATTTGCAAATCAATATGGCTACTATAGTTAGGTTTTTTATGTTGAAATTATGTAAACTTATTGACCTGCATTTTCGAACCATGATCCCAAATTGACGGAGTAAGAATCGCCCAAAATGGTTGCAGAAATGGAGAAAAAGGGGGAAAGTCATTGAGAAATCAGTTTTAATTTTACCGTCTTCACAAAATGAACTTTTGCTGGAAAATATCACAATCTCAGATATTCGGACCGGTTGAAGATCATTGACAGTTCAAATAAGAAGAATTTTGTAAAAGAACGCATAAATCTTTTAAAAGTTTACATTGGCGGTGTAACAGTGAATTTCTTTCTGTGAAAGGAATTTTAGCGTGGTCTGTCTGAAGATTTTGTTAGCCTAGGCTTGGATTTTAGGAATTTTAGACTGTTCCCTTAAAAATATAGACAATATGGGAAAAGAGACTCCTACAGCAACCCGTGGTTTAATTGGAGAAAGTAAGAGGTACCTGGAGAGTGGTAGCCTGGACTGACAGCTAACCGGCTTCCGACTTGAATGCAGGGGCGATGGAATCAAAGAGGAATTCTTTTTTAAATTTACTAGGAATTAACACTACGATAAATGAAATAAGACTAATCGGGCTTTTGATTGCAATGCGCGTCAATCTTGAGAGTTGATTGTTAGAGTTATTGACTCCGAGGCCTAAAATTTAGAAGACTTTTTGGGATGTTTGTTCCTTCCAAACTTACACAGTAAAGTGATTTTTCAAGCATGACGCCCCCGCCTTTTTCATGTCTCACAATCACACCATAAGGTTATGGGAGCTTTAAACTCCTCGACCCTCTGCATAAAATTAAGACATTTCCTTCAAATCAATTTTGATCGAAAAACAGACCCTTCAAACGCCTTCCCTGGCTGGTCTTGCGTTTGCACCACTTTCGTAGAAAACAGAGTAATTGGTCGAGTCAGTTTAGAAATATTTCAAAAACCAAATTTGTGCCCGCCATTTTTCTCATATTAATAGTCTTGCATCCGCCCAGTGCGGTCGGCAAAATTCGTATGGTTTTGACAAATTTTCAGACTGTGAGGTATTGCATCAGTTACGGAAGTTTTGATAAAGCCCACCTTTGAGGATACCCATTATTATATTGCATAAGCGCTCCTTTTGCGTCTGTAATCACATTTCAGCCACAGGAAATCACTGGTTATTGTAATGTAGATGAAGTGGTCAGTTTGAATAAAACACCGAGAACGCCCTTCTTTTCTGAATGGCTCTATATTCTCTAATCTTAAGCGGCATACATTTACTATTAACCTTTTCTGTGTGTGCAAACTATACTGCCGACTTCGTTTATTCGTGTTAGATTCCTGGTCTTTTATTCTGCTCGCACCTTAGTCTACACGAGACAAAATCAAAGTTACTTTGATTTCGCGCACAAAAAGGTGGTAATTATCTCCTTACGACATCAGAATAGAAGGCTGAGACTACTTTACTTGTCGAACTTTGAAGAACTTTCACGAAGATTCTATATCACATATTTGATGTTCTAGATAAGTAATTTATCCTTCTCTTAATTTCTTTCCATCTACATTGTATAAGTATTCGTTTTTACTATAAAACGACTTTTGGCCCGTCGACTGGACCGTATTGTCGATTGTATCTGTCTCGTAATAATCTTCTCCGGTCTATTTTCCCCAGTGCAGCATGCATATGATTAGTTATCCCCGAAGGTACAAATGTCCACATAGTCAGACCTCAGTTGTTGCCACATATGCTCTGATAGAAAGCAAGACTATTCTAACAACGTTCTCCCCCAGACAGGCTATTGAGAGCGGAGGTAATCATGCTGCTGTCTTGGCCAGGTGGAGTGAGGTGTAATACTCATTTACGAGTTACGGGGAAAGTCCGTGAGCTCGAGGGGACTAGCCAGTCCTCTCTGTTTGCTAACAATAGTCGCTTAGGTGAAGCTGCGATTTGATTCATGGCGAAAGGTTTTTCTGTGTTCCAATGGATCTCAAAACAGTGACAACCCGCAAAACTATTCTATCTTCTGTATTCGGCCGTTTACCGTTTAAAAGTGTGCACTTTGGCAGACATGAAGACGATAAAGATGGATATGGGGGACTGTTCTACAGGGTTGGACGTGAACATTTGGTCGAAAAATGGGTCCACTTAACGAGATACTTATTTATGTGTGCACGCGTGTTGACAGGAACGATAGTGTGTTCACCGTTGTTGGTGTGAAACCCCACCGCTCCGGTCGTGACATGTGTGTAAATCGATTCATAGTCGGGGGACTTTCAAAGCGCCTACCTCATTCATTCCCTCTCATCCCCGCACTCACACCTCACATGTCAATGGTAGGCAAACGAAGTTATGATCGCTGACGGACATTTGCTCATTGGATGGGGCGATAAAATCGACGTGTACGCGTGCCACCTATGCGCCCAACCCTATGAGCACGCTGCCCAGTATTCAAGAAGGACGCATCTGCACATTAAATAAGTCTGAAATGGAACCTTATCCTCACCCTGAAAACAAAGGGGCTGAGTGCTTGGGATAAAGTTTGGTCTTGGCGGCTGGGTGCGTACGCGCAATAGCGGACTTCGCGCCAAAGGACTTCTGCGACGTCGTCTGAGCTCCGTTATTGGGCGCACGTATCCAAATTCATATCTTTCAATCATATCTCTCATTAAAGTCGACTGCGTGAAGTCGTGTTTAGAGCCATTACAGTTCAACAATCTGTCTGGAAGATCAGTTTACCTCTTCAGTTAGCAATCCCCAAAGCCGCAATCTTTAGCGCCTTCAAACATTGCAAAGACTTCCTTTTTGCAGATTTACAAAACAGGTCATAAATTCTTTAGCTCATATTGGAAAAACGTCTTGTCTATCTTGCATTTCCTGTTTAATTTACCCTGCCTAACTCGTTTGCTTCACTGTGAGCCTTAACAAAGTCACGTCTACAAAATGCTCTCGATACTTTTAAAGTGCTTTTATGTCTGGCCAACGATCTTTTTCCTTCCAAATTCCCTTATTTCGTCTGAAATCATCATCAACAGGTCGTGCATTCGTGGGTTCAGCATAGCTGGGATTCCCAGCACGAATATACGATTAGCTTTTTCCATGTCAGCAAATGTTATTCTTCGTTCATACAAAATTAATTCCATAAAGTAGCATGAATATGTGACGATTTTCTTCGCGAGTGCTACACACGTCAGTAGCCGGAAGGTGTTTCAACAGCGAGCTAGCCCCCGATCCTGCATACAACAATTCCATTTCTCAGCTGTTCGCATTACAAGCTCTGTCATTGACGTATTCAGTGCTCTCTCAATGGCGAAATGTAATTTGCGAATGTTTGCCTTTTTCTGTTGCGTCCCCTCCTTCTCTTCTGCTCGCAAAGACAAGCCCAAACGCTCAACCCAAATATCAACATCTCGGTCCCTGCACCGCCGCGCCTCCCTACCTGGACGCCCAGATCCACTATTTTTCTAAATAGTTACGCCCCTCCCTCTCCACCTCCCGAGAAGAAGAACCCTCCATTGGTCCTTCGAAGCTTGTACATCTGCCTAAAATGCTTTGAGAGCAGCCGCCGGTCAAGCACTCCGAGGCTGACCCTGGAACTCTGGCTCACTGATCGCGTTACGGAACTCACTCATCCCGTTGTGTCGTAGGGCTATCACCCGAGCCCCACCAGCAGCCTCACAAAGCTACAGTATATAGGCAGAATAGCATTGTCGGCAAAAACAGGAGAAGCTGGAGTAGCCACTTCTGGCTCACTAGCGTCATCAACCAGCGACATCCAACCCCGAAGTCTCCAATCCCCGAGGTTCGAACTCGCAACCTGTTGGCTAGAAGTCCAATGCTCTACTCCTCGACCCACGTGCTCGTTGTCCTATGGATTGCGATCGAGTATATAAACAACGGCAGAGGGGGCGCGCACTGATTGCGAAACTGCTCTCATCGAATACAAGGAGCCAGATCCGGTCACTTCGTGTGCGATGGAGTGTGTTATAAATCTGCTCACTGATACTAGCGGTCCAACTCTCTGACAGTTGTGCGGTTGCGCCTTTTTGCTCCTTAACCTCTTGTTCGCTTGGCTTCCGCGTATAACGGCCCATTCAGGCTTGTAAGCGTCCCTGTAAGCATATACTTGTAAAAGGCATCAACTTCTCGCAAGGATCGAGCCAAGTACGAAAAAAGGAACTCATTAACAGCTGTAAATATATTAAAATTGGACAGGACGCAGGTGTCCGCATTGGCATCCTGTGGGGCGGTTCATCAGTGCTGGTGTGTCCGACAGCTGGAACCTCCCAACTCTCCCGACTCCATTAACTTGATTGCTTTGAACAGCCGGTGCTCTAGAAAGACGTAGTTCTGAAGGCGTCTTATAAGCCAGTAAAATGGTATCAGGATGCAAACGTAGCAGACGTAGAACCATTTTGCCTGATAAAGGAAGGAGGATTCAAATCTGTGCGAGAGGGAACTGAGTTAAGGATGACTTTGTTGCTGACTTCTTAGCACTAGCTCGTTAGGAAGGGAATCATCAATGGGGGGAAATGTTTTTGCCCATTAAAAGGCAAGTATCGAGTCAAAAATACCACTGAAATTAACAAAATGGCGAAAATCAGATACCGGCGCAACTCAATACTCCAGCGTTGTGATAATTTTGATTTGCAGCCCGAAAATTTGTTCTGGCGGGCAAGTCTACCGTCGGTGGATAGGCTCAGCGTTCTCCACATGTCAGGGCGAGAGTTGCAACGCTTCTAGACGGCGACAACGACGACGACCACATGTCGTGATTGTAAAAAAAAACTCTAAATAACACTGCAAGGAACGTCCTTCGGTTCAGCGAGATATTCTGACGAGCCGAGGCTCGGTTATTTGCATCTTGCCAGGTTTGGTCCATGATACGCTCATTGCTGCTTGACTGCCTACTTCCTTGTCAACTTGAGCAGCTTGAAAAAAACTGCTGGCAACCACCTTTCGCGTATCAGCTGTCCACGGTCTTGGATGACGAAGAAAATGAGGGTTAGGTGTCAAACTAGTCGTGATGCAGTGCACGGCGGCATGCGTCTGACGTAAGTACGCGACGAAATATCAGTAAATTACAGGAATCGTTTGCTATTACTAGGGTCGCTTTTCTCGCCAGCACATGGCAATGGTTGCAAAATATGCTGCGAACTGGGACTCGTCCGTGAAGCCACGGATATCCAAACAACGCGAAAAAGTGCCAAGCAGAAATTTCTGAGGTACAGTACGTGGCCGATCTCATGAAATGGTCGAAATTCTGAAATGCGTTTCCGATTGGGAAGGATTTCTTAGGTAGGGTTGTAATATTGATTTCCATGCGGCATAATCCTATAATATTTTGAGGTCGTTGGGATGTCAGCTTTTGACTGCACTTCTGTTTGACGCCCTACAGAAACCACGCTTGGTTAAAAATGGCTACTTATATAGCATGCTGTTTTCATACTGATCTTCGATTTCCTCATAAATTCAAATATATTTTTAAAAAAACATGCATAAAAATATGCTTTCTAATGGTAGGGAGAGCTCACCGATCGTTCCGTTGTACCTTATAGGCTCTCTCTCGAGCCCAACCAGCAGCCGCACAGCGGCGCATGATATAGGCAGAATGGCATTACCGACAAAGACAAGGGAGACTGGAATGGCCATTTCTGGCTTATTAGCCGTCGTCAGCCAGCCATACCCAACCCCGAAGTGTGCAACACCCGAGGCTCGAACCCGCGACCTGTTATTTAGAAGTCCACGCCTCTAACCACTTTGCCTATATCATGTGCCGCTGTGCGGCTGCTGGTTGGGCTCGAGAGAGAGCCTATAAGGCACAACGGAACGAGTGAGTTCCGTAGGAACGATCGGTGAGCGCCCCCTACCATTGTACATTACCGATCGAAAAGCGACAAGGCAACGGGCTCGTGGCCCAGTGGTTGGAGGCGTTGGGCTCCTAACTAACAGGTCGCGAGTTTGAGCCTCGGGTGTTGCACACTTCATTGTTGGGTATGGCTGGCTGACGACGGCTAATAAGCCAGAAATGGCCATTCCAGTCTCCCTTGTCTTTGTCGATAGTGCCATTCTGCCAATATGCTCTCTTTTATTCCTGTGGTGTAAAATCATATTTTCTGCATATTTTATAACAGAAGAAAGTGTATAGTTAGGTTTTAAAAAAGCTTCCCAATTCTCGAATAATTTTCAGCCTGATCTGCCATTGCATCAGCTTCTAGTCGTCTAAGTCTACAAGGGACATGCTTTCTGCGTAAGGAAAATCATATATTCCTCTATGTCTTTAAGAAGATACCACACAGAGTTCATGAAATTTCGCAATGGATCCGGACTGTGTTGTACATTTCCTGAGGAGCATTGGTAAACGGACGCGTGCGATGCTGCATGTATGGACATCGTACGGTCTCAAAAATCTCATAATTAGAAACTTAAGGCCGAAAAATAAACTTTATTAGGGTGCAAAAGGTAAAGACAATGTGATTTTTTACCAACCCAGTAAAGGAGAGCGTATTGTGCATGTTTTCTATAAAACATATTTAAATTTATGAGGCAGTCGAAAATCAATGTGAAAAATGCATGCTACATAAGTAGTCATTTTTTACCGAACGTGGTTTCTGCAGGGGGTCAGAAAGAAGTGCATTCAAAAGCCGACATCCTGTTGACCTCGAAGTACTGTATGATTATGCCGCATGATAATCAATATTACAACCTCACCTAAGAAATCCCTCTCAATCGAAAACGCATTTCAGAATTCCGGCCAACATTTCATGAGATCGGTCACTCACTGGATGTAAAAACAACGCAAAAAAATGTCAGGAAGAAATTTCCGAGCTACGTGGACCAGACTTCCAAACATATGAAACGTGCATATAACTGGATCTCATCCACTGAGGGGAGCAGACTATTGTGCCAAAGGTTTCGTCCCGACCGTCCCAGAGCACATATTTTCCGACTTTGTGACTCGCATCCCAGCAGACGGCAACAACGAAAATAGTTGTTCAGTTTGTTTAAGTTGCATTCTTTGGTCACAGAAAACGATCAACATAAAGGGACTCTGTACTAAAATGCCCCATTTCCGAGTGTCCAACCCGAATTTGCAAAAGGTTTTCACGGGATGTAAAATGGCCGTTAACAGTTGGTACTTACAAAATAAGGGCAATGAGTCCTGTTTTTTTACGGCAATTGCAAAACTTTAGCTGAAAACGGCGAATTCATAAGAGTGAATTCGTGTTGTATACGACGTAAGTTGGTCATAAACGAATGGGTTGAGATGATTTAGTGGCCGTCGGTACGGAGGACGAACTCTGAATTGCTGAAGCCAAGTTGACTGATGTCAACTTAGTGGATAGTCCTCTCAGTCCTAACTCAAAAATGCTGCTACGCGGGGCTCCCGTGCTGTAGGTGGGGAATGTTTCCCCTAATCTAGACCTATTTCCGAAGTCAACGACTGTGAAAAATATGTACAGTTATCGGCTTGGCAGATATCTTCAAGATATCGAGCAAGGCGACCGATTTCCCATTGCCACCACTCTGCGATACCGATGGTTGTTGTTTTCTGCATAAAGGCCTTCCCGACACCAAACTCTAGATCTCGATCTGTACTTGTTTCCATTTCCGATGCATTTATTTACTTGCGAAATAACTGAACTTCATAGGCATCAGGAGCCAAAAGACCCACGTCTGAACATATTTTCAAACGAAGGGTAAGACGCGAAACCGTGAAGAAGAGTGCTGACCAAAGGTTGCGTTGTGCCAGCACAAACGCACTCCGTGCAACACCTTTACGGCAACCGACTTTTTTGACTAATGAGTGAGCGCTCTAAGCGTCTGCGAAGCCGGGATACGTTTGACCACCACCAGGAAGCGACCACTGTTTCTGTAGACTTTCAGGATCGAGGTCAGAGTCATGAGGTTGACGTGTCTAGTCTCAGTCTAAGTACAGGACTTATCCTACCGACTTCAGAGCACTACCGGCAAGCCTGTTGCCTAAACGGAGAAGATTACAGAACTGCGCTACAGAATCGCAAGCAGTGACATGTTGCAGGTCAGTCGTTGTAGGAGAACGTAGTCAGCAACATGGTCATAGTACGCGTAGATGGGAATTTTGTGTCAGACCAGCTACCACGTTCAGCCCCCTCCCCAGTCGTTCTTCAACTGGATCATGGTGAAGCCGGAGAGATTGATTTTGTGCAAATACCATGAACATTCGACGCTCGCCATTCCTAAGTCAACCTTTTGTGGAGGCAGCAAAAAGTTTCAGAAGGCTTCCAGATGCTTCACTCGCAGTCCATCAACCTTCGGCGCCTTCACAATACATCCCCGCCAGTCAACTCGACGGCGGTAGTCGAATTATCTAAGCAGCTTATCTCTGTGATTGAATGTAAACTGGTGCTCATGCAATCTTGTGTCGAGGCGTTTGCCCGTCTCACCGACATACCTTGAGTCACAATTTTGGCATGCTATGCTGTAGACCATCGCAGATTGTTCTGTCACTGTTGGCGAGTCTTTTGGCCTCCTCTCCTGCAGCAGGCTGGCCGTCTCGTGACGAAGACGCTGTGCGTTCTGTTGGAAAACAAAGTGTGGTTAACAGGCGTTCTACCGGCAAATGGGAAGGTGTTTGTGGCAAGTAGACGGGGAAGAAAGAACAGTCTTGCGCCGCCAACCTTTCTTCCAAAACTTCGTCCTCTAACTCAGCTTTCCACAAAACAAACAGGCTCGAAATGGTTCAATGTGCGTGAGGGGTCTCGGATAGACCTAGTTTTTTCGGATAAACATATCAGTATTAAAAGCCGAACGGATCAAGGCCATATCATGGCGGGAGAAAATTGGAGTCCAAAATTGACGTAAATATCTCCCACAAATGCGAACAACATCTGTTTGCTCAAACGGTTCAGCGCACGCGATACTGTTATCTTTAGCGGCATAGGAGTGCCGCTTTCCAAACTCACGACAGCCAGTGTACAAACAAGGTATATAACAGGAAGTAAATCGTATGGTTCAAAAGGATACTCCAGGAGTTGAGAAGGGAGGCTCATCCTCAAACGGATGTTCACCGGCGTTTTCGGCGTCTCCAGCCTGCCATGTGCAAACGAGAAGATATTGCCCAGCTGAAGTGTGACTGAGCAAAAAGAAAGAGAATGCCTAAAAGTCTTTTTTCATTTAAACTTGAGAAAAAAATAAGACGGTCTAAAAACCCAAACAGTGAGAGTAGAGGAGGGAGGGATTTTTAACTGAATCAAAATTTTTGACATTCCTCTTTCTTCACTTTTCTGCGTTCTGCTTTTTTGGCAGACGTCAGACTTTTGAAAAAGACTTATTATTAGGCGATAACGATAAAACCGTGGAACTACTGTCAAGACCTGTTGGAAGGACGTGCTCCAACACTTCCAAGGAGATGGATGTGACAAAAGCAGGGATGAAAAAAAAGAAGAAGAAGAGGAGGAGGAGGAGGAGGAGGAGGATGAGGAGGAGGAGAAGGAGGAGGAGGAGGAGGAGGAGGAGGGGGAGGAGGAGGGTAATGTGACATGTTGCGCTACTCTCTTGACAAGGAATGTGCATTCTTCTCTTTTATACGTCTCTGGCGTACTTCTTGGACATCGCTGAGGAAGGTTGCTATTCGCTCTAATGCGGTTTTGCGGGCGCTTCGCGGACACTTTGCGCCAGAATGGCTGGCTTATTTCCATCCACTGCCGGTTCCCCTTTAACCTGCATGCGTAAAATGACCGTTTCCGGCGCATTTCCCATCATCAGGCCGTCATCCTGACATCAGAGATTTTAGCTTCGGCTAGATCGCAGTTGGTAGCCAGGCCCCGCATTACAGGGGACTGGGGGGTTGTTTACTGGGGCCATTTTGTCAGGTTCCATAATCACATGTGACCCATTTGGCTTTCGTTTTACGGTTGAGGTTAGGATTAAAGCACCAGTTAATAGTTTCCTATTTTCGGGTTAGGGTTATGCATTTAGGCTTAGGTTTTCGGGCTACGGTTAGGGTTTGAGCGTACGACTAGGTTTCAATATCATGGTTAGGTTTTCCAGTTACGCCTATGCCTAAGGGCTACAGTTATGTTTACGATTTCGGTTAGGGTTAGGGTTGTCGTTAGGTTTAACGGTTAACGTTTAATGTTGGGGCTAGGGTTAGGGTTAAGGTTAGGATTAGGGTTAGGTCGCCGTCCGCTTCCCATTCCTGGCTACCAACTTCGATCTAGCCTCAGCTTCTGTTCAGTTGATCACTGATCATTTTCAAATCAAACACTTCGCTACAGGATTCACAGCTTGGTGCCTTTTTTGGCTGAGGTCGAGAATATTAGAACTTACAAGATGCTCCGTTTGCTAATGCATCTCACTTGACCTCAACCTAAAATAACAAGCTATTTTATTGTTTTTCGTCAAATTTAGCAGAAATTACATCAGCTACCAGTCTTAGCAAGCCTGCTGTTGCTCAAAATATGCCAGGGTCTCCATACAACTTCCAACAGCCAACTTAGCTTATTACAAGCCATTGCGCTGCTTCTATTGCTGTTCTTGCAGAACATTCTTTCGTGCTGCATGAGCCAGTGAGTTGCAGAAAAATATAAGACCTAAGGGACCCGACAAGACAGCATTGTTGACACCAATTATGCAATGGTTCTTCCGGCGTCTAACTGTTTACCCGGAAAATTGTATGTTTTAAAGTATTGTTGCTTTTTTTAATTTCCTCAGAAATTAACAGCGAAGTTTGAGTGGATCAGTATATTCTAGGTTTATAGGCTCAGACCGCAGTTTTTATGCATGAATATGTGGGTCGAAGTCCATCAGCCACTAATGAGTCGAACCCCTCTCAGCTGTACCATGCAACGGCATAATATCAGCGAAACCCGCGTGTATAGGCTTTTGGCTGTTGCCTGTGCTGTTAGTATAGAATTTGCTTACCCTTAAGTATGTTCATTTTACAATTTAGAAATGTGCGCTTTAATATGAGGTGACATGAAAAATTTCAATATCTAGGATCTTTTGAAAATTACCCATCTTTGCTTAAACATAGGACTTTTGATGCCTCAGGCGTTCACACTTAGTGTTAAGCGTCTCATTGTGCCTTAGGTCAGAGTACCGAGCGCTTGTATCGATTTTGCCCGAAAGCAACTGAAGTTAGCTTCGCCAATCTAAGACATTACCAGTT